AATATGGAGATCAAGTAACACGGAAATTACAGAAGTCGCATTGACACTTCGGAAAACGCTTGAGATCGCCAAGCATTTTCAGGATTTAAGCTGGATCAAAGCTTCTCAAAACCCTGGCTTTTGAATCAATCCAGACTCCACAATCCTCAAAAGTTTCTCGCTTGAAAACACGTCTAGATTCTCAGGACTCTCATACTGAATATTGAATTCAGTAGGGCTTTAGACAAAAGGATTTAACTCGCTTTAAAGTGCTTTGCACAAATGCATTGACGGAATGGGGCTCCAATCTGGGAGGTCTGGGAAAAGAGTGGACATGACTCGGAAGTACCATAAATACAGGCAGTCTGACTATAGCTTTCTCGTACCGATCCCTCGAACATTGCCAGGCCACTCTTCAGCTTGGAGATCATACTCCGCTCCGCCTCGTCGCTGACGCTCCGCCCTCGGAATCGAAGCTTCCGGTAGCAGCCCAAGAATCTACGCCAAAAAGCAAGGGCCGTAACCGGAAAAGAAGGTCTCAAGGGGCCTCAGGCGCTTGCATGTTGGCAGGGGGCCACTTTCCATGGTTGAAGGACGAGTTTGAGTTCGCTATGCTTGAATTCAGAGCCCAGCCGTGCCCGAGAGACACAAGTCTAACTACATCAAGAAAAAATATGGAGCCCAAATTTGTCCTAAATTGTTCATGAGCAAGCATGGACCCCCTGCTTGACGAGTTAAGTGTTCAACTTTGACATTAGGGCAGATCTGCCGATAAACGTGAGGGTGAATGGGTTGCAGTGCATTCTATTGTGTGTTTGTTTGTGTTGTGGCAGTGTACTCGGTCGTCTGGAGTCTCTTATTCTGGCAGTTGACAAGTCAACCCCAAGCATCCCCGAACTTCCTGCTGAGTAAGTATCATGTAGGATACATGGTAGCTGTTGTAATTGATGCTGCCATTCTGGCTTTGATCCTTGGCATGAAAGAGGCATGGCAGCTGGCAGCTTCTTATCCCAGCTGACCGTAGCATGGCTGTTTCAACGCCTGTCACTCCTTCAAGAAAAAATACACTCGAATTACTGACTGTCTTGGCTTGGTTGACGTTGGAAGGGAAGCAAAGATTTAAATATTAGCAGTTCAGTGGGGATTTCCCACTAAGCCACAAGAAGCAAAAATGTAACATGTATCGAAACAACAACCATGTTGGGAGTCACGCCCTTTCTTCTCAATCCTCGACGGCAGGCCTGTCAAAAGACGGCGAGCCAGATGCTGCTTGTAAAAGTTCTCGAAGACATCCTGCAAAGAGGCGGAAGGATCACCACTGCGAAATTGCATACAACCAAATGGTACAAAGGCAAGTGAGCTTAACATGGACTTGGCATGGGGTTCAAATGGGCTCCAAGGTTGCCATCTCAGCAACGTGACTGGCATTCCGGTTAACACAAGTGGTTTGGGGAGAAGTGGGAAGCCTCTGCTGGAGCCGAGGGCTTCCCAAGCAGCTTTACCAGTGCGCTTACTTTTTCCTTGAGGCTACTGCATGGAAGCGATCGAAACCTGCGCATCCCGCTGAAAACTCGAGTCGTGTCGGCCTCGCCTTGTCCTGCAAGAACCGAAATACCGTGACCACCTGGCAGGAGTAGTTTTTTCGGGGCAAAGTGGGGGGGCGTCGTGCAAGAATTACCGTGAACTGATTGTTCAATGCAGTCATGGGCCTGTTTGCGCATCTTGCTGGTCCGGCAATGGTAAACCTTCTGATACTTGACAGAAAATCGGCGCTCTTGATCAACCCCTGTAGCAGTGTCCAGCCACGTCCGTGATACTTTGCAATAATTGATTGCAAGTCTTGAGAAGTACATGATCTCTCTGCATTTCCGAAATCAAAACATACACACACACAAACACACACACACACACACACACACACACACACACACACACACACACACACACACACACACACACACACACACACACACACACACACACACACACACACACACACGCACACACACACGCACACGCACACGCACACGCACACGCACACGCACACGCACACGCACACACACACGCACACGCACACGCACACGCACACGCACACGCACACGCACACGCACACGCACACGCACACGCACACGCACACGCACACGCACACGCACACGCACACGCACACGCACACGCACACGCACGCCCTCACACACACACACACACACACACACACACACACACACACACACACACACACACACACACACACACACACACACACACACACACACACACACACACACACACACACACACACACACACACACACGCGCACACGACTTTCCACCATGTCACTATTCAACCCTCGTGTCAAGTCGTGCATGTGGCGTAGGAACCCCTCAAACTATGAAATCATCATGACAGCGACACTGTCCAACTGGGCTCAAACTTGCTCGACGCAATGGCATCAAGCCTTGGAACCCGCCTGCTCTAGGGCTGCATCCACGTCCGCGTCGCTGGACATGCCCTTCAGGCCCTTGCGGAACCTTCAGGACCAACTGGCCATTTATTTGGACATCCACTGCCAACCCCCAGAGAACTACTTGCCCCGGCTCTATCTACGCCATGAATGAAGATGAGTCCAAAGGTTCACAGGGGAAGGAAATCTGCTTGCATTTTTGTTGCACACCGTCCTGGCAATGTCATGTACCTTGTTTCCGTGACGGTCATGTTGTACTCCGTTCAATTTGATGCAACTCGCATCTCAGGAAACCAAGCAAGAACAAACAGCAACAAATCAAGCAAGTAAAAGAGAGCTTCGCTCGACAGAGTGACGATTTGTTGAGTCAGCAGCAATTAAAACGAAAACACATGTCTGGGATAGAGTGTGTATTTGATCTGAAGGGATATCAATGTGCAGCTCATGGTGTTTCCTCACTGTAAAGCCCAAGAGGAGTCCTAATCAACGTGTCCTGATGTATTCTCTCTTGCAAGCGCAAATCTGCAGACACGGACATCCAATGCGGTGGTATGATCCCAGCTCAAGCTCACCCTGTTGCAATCACGGCATTCCACGAAATGAATTCACCAATTCACCCATCGAGAATCAATCTCTGCCAAAAAGCTTTGAGTATGCGCCAACCAACCTTCGTTCAAATGGAGCTCAAATGCCCAGTGGCCATGGGAAAAGAAGGGTATCCTTTTTTGGTTGGTTCAGTTTTGGGGGGAGGAAAAAAGGGCGCCACTGGGCAACTGGGGGAGGAAACCCGCGCTGTTTCCTAAGAAAATGTAGCCAAGGGCGTCTCCTTCTGCTCGCCGGGCGAAGGTGTCGGCGCAAAGTGGGGTTGGGGCCCTCGCTGGTCATCCACGTAGAGCGACAAGTACTGAGCCGTGCGTGTGTCCTGGCACTGGCTTCTCTAGGCCCTACTAGACGACCAAGGAAAAACAGGCGAAAGGAGAGGGACAAGTTGGATTAAGCATGGAAACCAGGCAGAAACGGGCACAATCATTGAGTTGGGTGAGTTTGGGTCACCAATGGAAACAGCAACGCTGCAAGAATTGGTGTGTTGCACCGCTGGCACACGCAATATCCAGCCGTCCAGCTGGCTCGCTGAGGTACATAATATCAGCAAAAGCTTGTTCTGACGACAAGCCGATCCGGTCGTGTACAACGGGAATTGTCCATACAGCCCGTGGTGAACTCCTGAATCATGCCCAAACTTGGCATTAGCAAGGTCTATCCGCCATGTAAATAATCAAGAATCAAGGTATTCAGCACTCTCTTCACTTCACTTGCCTGGGATTTGATTGTGGCTCAACTCATGAATGCCGTCTACCCGGACACGAGTTTGCGCTTCAGCTGCAGTGGCTACTGGTGCCTGGAACAATAGGCTGCGGCCACTGCCCACATGTAAAGCTTGGAAGATTTGGGTGGGTGGGGGGGGGCTTCAGTTAGCCAAGATGCCTCTGGGCTGGTCTTGCCCCGGGCCGCTTCTGTTTGGAGCGCCTTGCTTTGCCCAACGTCCCGCTTTCCTTTTGGCGTCCCTTAAAACCCACCCAGAAAAAACGATTAGCGTCTCCCCCAAAAACAAACAACACGCTGCGCCCGAAAGATCTCTCGCCCAGGCCCCCGACGGCCCCCGACGGCCCCCGACGAGATGCTCGAGCCTTGTTGAGGAAGGACTCAAAGGCCTGCTTCAGGGCAAGCTGGAAGTCCTCAGAGACCGGCGCAGCTAAACCTTCGCGCCCCCCAGCGGTATGATGGTGGGCTCAGCTAAACCCCCCGAGGTTAAAAATGAAGTCCTCAAAGACCGGACGGCTCAGCTAAACCCCAGCGGTGAAAAATAAATGCTCAGCTAAACCTTCTCCCCCCGTGGTAAGATGGTCAAGGGCTCAGCTAAACCCCCCAGCGGTAAAAAAATAAATCCCCAGTTGGGTGCCCTTTGAGGGTCAGAGACCATTTAGCTCAAGCGGGGCTCCTTCCCAGGTTGGGTGCCCTTTGCTTCTTTTCCGAGGCTACTCCTGGTAGGGTGGGTTTTGCTAAAAAAAAAAACACCCAGTTGGAAGGAGATGATATAGCGAATGTCTGCCAATAGTGAGCCTCTGAGAAGGGCCCGCCGTGATGCGCTCAAATCTAAGCCATGGCAACCGCCAGGGCTGAAAGGGAGCAACTCATCCGCCCTCCAGGGTCTTGGGTTACATCCCAGAAGTCAGTAGACGCCTTGCATGGGTTTGCCGATCTTGCCTCAGTCCTGCTTCAGAAGCAGAACTCATCTGGATGGGCAGGTGAAGGGACGAAACAAACGCAAACAAATACGTAGAACACACACGCAAAGCAAACAGAGAATGGCAATCGTGCAAGTACAGGCGTTCACACTTAAGTTCATGCAAAGCAGTGAGCCAAAGGCAATGAGGTGTCAGCTCTCACAAGTCCACAGTGAAGGGGCTGGAATGGAAAACTTGTCAAAAAGCACCCTGACCGAGCGGTGTTATGTTGTTGAAAGTGTAATCTTCAGTTGTTCCTCTCGTGACATTCATGAACCATGCATCGCGGCAGGTACAGGTTCAAGCTTAAATCTGTCAACGCGACAAGTGGGTCCTTGCTCTCTTTGAAGGACTCCTTGACAAACCTGTCGTACCTGCCGGTTTTTTTCATGTGCATGACGTCTTGGGGCTGATCCATCTTGAAATTAATTTGCATCCACCTGGCTGATTCTGCGTAGCTTAAGATCAGCCTCAACGAAGCGGCAAGTTTCTTCAGGTTGTCGCATCCAAGTTTGTGCGCCAACTGAACGCCCAACTGAAGTACAAATGCTCCGCTTGGATGGCAGCTTGCGGACATTGAAAAACGACACCATGAGTGTGAAGGCTTTGTCAGCGAAGCACGGCCGTTGATTGCTTCCTAGGTTACACTGCAATTGCAACAAACATAAGCTGCGATTAACCCCGGGCAAACAAGGTCAGCGTCCAAGGAGCAAAAAAACGAATCCTCGCTAAGTTGGTTATGCTTGAGCTCAAGAAGGGATCTGGCAACCCTTGAGGCCACAGAGATCTACCAGTCGACCGTTACCAGAGATCTACCAGGCGAATTGTCAAACTGGATCAAAGCTTCAACTTCTAGCCATCCTCAAAGCCTCAACGTCTCATTGCCTGCTACAGACTACCCATCAACTGGCAGGTTGTTTGTGAGAGTCTGTGGGGGGGGGGGTGAAGAAACATATGCTCAAAAGCCAGCCACGCGCACTTGTGCTTCAGGTTCAGGATTGCTGTGATGAAGGACACTGGATCCTTCACCTTGTCCGGGTCGTTCAGCACGTCCCGTCCTGAGAAAGGCTAAGGCATGACGGACAGTGGCAACAAAAGCTATCAACCGCTGGCAGGGATCCGGATCCCACAAGCCCCATGGCTGATGGGCGGAAACATAGCGCTTGCCATGGCCTTCGAAACAGTGAAAAGTCCTCCGATCGTCCCATAGTGCCATAAGCCCTCAAAGACAACCCTAAAGGTCCAGCTGCCAGGAAGCGATGGACTTGCCTCACTCCCACGGATCATTTCTTAAACAAGAGGCATGCCTTGCAATGACTGCTCTGTTCCACCATGCAAACATGAAGCATAGAGCGAGCCGCACCAAGCACCATTTTCGCAGGCTGAATGCTTGCAGGATGGTCTGCATGTTGCCCCAATTGTGTGACCGCACAAAATGCAACCCGCCTTGGGCTTGGCACATGTTCCCTTTGGTTGGCAGGTTGCCAACCCTCGAAAAAGGAGCGACGCAGTTGCCCCGGCTCCTGCTTCGCACATGCAGTCCATCATCACCTGGCCCGGCAAGGCCCTACAAGAGCGGCAACAGTGGAGCTTCCCGTCGCCAAACACCGCACACCACCGCTGGGATATGCATCCGGAATCACTGCTCTAGAATCACTGCTCTAGAAGGCCCATGTTGTCACGTTCCGGAAAAAAATCTGGGGCATCCTGGCAAAGGCCGATGAGGCAGAATGCTGCCTGTCCTAGCTGCCTGCTCTCATTTGCTGCCCTCCGAAGTACCCTGAAACTAAGTTGTTGAGTTGGTCTGCATGCCGCAAACGGTGTTCATCAGCGCTTTCAAAGCTTGAAATGAAACGCCTGGCTCCCTCCCTTCGCACGCCTTCTGCACTTCCTTCAGCGTCTGAGGCACTCGGCTAAAGAGCACATACATCCTGGCAACACGAATGGGCAACAGGATATCCCAACAATCCCAATGAACACACAAGCTGTTGGCCCCATCATGCCTAAGATTACGTTCACTCACTCAACAGACTGAGTTTATGATGCTAGGATTGGATCTGCGGTAGACAGGCAAAGAGCAAAATGCCAACTCACCTTTGGGATAATAAATACCAACTGTGAGTTCAAGAATCCAACAATTTGTTCAATACATGTCTGGTTGCAGGCTAAAAAGCTTGGAAGGCAACCGATGCATTTAAGGTACACAGTGGATCCTAAACGACGGCTTTAGCTGCAGGCTATCTCGCAGCCCTTGCAAACCCAAAGAAGCAAGCATCTGGCTTGCGCAGGCGACTTTAAAATTCGTAGCTGAGAGTGCTACCACGTGCATGACATACTGGTGCTGCTGCAAAGTAGCTCCTACTCCTTGCCCGAGTGGTGTGGAGTGGATTTTGTCATCTCAGCATGCCATCTTACAAAGGTTTCTTTCGCTGTTCAAGATTCTCACCGTAGCGGCCTTTCCTGCAATACATGCAACAAGGGCAGCGCCAAGGGGCTTGGATTGACCCCATCAGTGAGCCATAAAGTTGTAAAGTCATGCTCAGCGTCTGCTTTTTGGTCTATAGCTTGCTGGCACTGATCCTTGTATAGCGCGCCACACCTTGATTACCTAGGTCCTCCAGTAGAGAGGCTACCCTTTTTTCTGTAGTCTATCTTAGTAGGGGAATCCTTCCCCTAAAAAAGGGCAAAAGGGCACTACTGGGGACCTGGTTACTAACGTTCCCCCGTCCCAGAAGTTGCGGCGTGCCGGCAGTATCCTGCCTCTCTAGGTCTTGGACCTTGTCGTGCTCGAACATCCAGGCACACCTGCGGCGAGTGCTTGAACATTCAGCCCATTTACTCGTGTCTCAAGGTAGCTGAGGATGCTCAAGCTGGCGAAAATGCTGGCACCACGGTCGTTGCTGACGTTGCCACTTGTGTCAGGCGTCAAGAGCCCAATTTGTTGGTGCTACTTGTTGCTAATGCGGGGCTGTCGTCCCAAAACCAACAGGATGCCGTGGCTATCTTCGCGACAAGGCAAAGTCCTCTGATTCTTCAACCCTGGCATTTGTACTGTACGCGCACGGGCGTGGTCAATGCAAGAAAAAGTTCGGCAGCTCCCATTCCTCATTCGTGTGTGTCAAAAAGAGGTACCCAAAATGGAACCCTCGTAAATGGACACATGGACTAGACTAAAACCTGCGGTCCCCTGGTGGCTTAGTTTTGACCCGTACCCTCATTGAACGGCTCCCAACTCCCCGCACCCTGAGTTGTTCATGTGAATCAAGGTCTTGTAGTGCACCAAGATCCACTCTTCATCGCAAAGCTCCTGCGACAATGTCAGAGGAAAAAATAGAATGTTCGAAACATGTGCCACAATTGAGAAACTGCCACTAGCCATCACTTACAGTAGAGGATTGGCATTGCTCAAAGAATATTGCTTGCAGAGCAGAAATGTGTTTTGCCTTGCGGCTTGACTAACAGCAGCCTATCAGTGGACTAGGAAATGTCACGGCTTGAAGTGGTGGCTTGTCTGGTAGCGACATGATGTGCTCTTATTGTTCTACGTGCAGGGCCCCGACCAACTCAATCAACCTTGGGACAGTCAGCAGTAGCAAGTGCATCCCTCAAATTCGGCCATGAGGTTCTGGAAATCTGCAAATGGCAGGTGAGACTGCCGGGTAGAAAAAAGAGTGCAACAAAGATCAGCACAGATGAGCCGCTGCTTCAGCCCAGATAGTGCTTCGAGCTTGCTGAGTACAAAGGTAGTGTTGCTAGTTGAATGCATTTGTCTCACTGCGTTCATGGGGCCTTAAGGCAAAAGCATACCAAATCCAAGAATAGCCTGGTTCGCGACTTCCTTACGGCCCAGCAACTTACAGCAGCTCGCGATTGCATTCCCTTGTCTAGGCTCTCCGCATTTTGCAACAGGCTTACTGAGATTGCGGAACATGAGTTGTGGCTGTGATCTGTGCTCTGACACTGTCTCACTGTCACGCATTCCCGAGAGCACGAATCAACTCAAGTTGGGTGTTGCCCGCGCATGGAAGTGCTTCCTAGAATATGCAAGCCAAGCCACCTTGCGTTTTTGCCGTTTCCTTACCAGGCGCATAGCAACCATCTAACCATCTTGTGGGTGCTTTGCAAGTAAGATGTGCAAAGCGAACTGCTGGCGAGCTGGCCAGTAATCCAGGTGTCTCAAAAGAGCTACTGTACACAACTACCCTCAACCCTCGCTCACACTGCTACTCAATCCGACATACTTATAATTATATAGACTTTCCTCCATACAATAACTGGCCAGGCGCTCCCTAACCAGGGCATCCAATGAAACATCCCCGGCCCCTCCGATCCCCCGGCCCCTCCTGTATCTTCTCCATAGTTGACTCATGAAGATAGTTCTGCACCTATGGCACTGAATGAAACGTGCTTGAACTCCATGCTAAGACGAACCAAAAAACCAGGCTTGTCCCACAATGTGCGACATGCCCACAAACTGTTCGGTCTTCAGGTATATTATGCCTAAACCAAAGCGGACAGAGCGTCGACATATAGACAATGACCTCGTTCAGCCGTGATGACTGTTGTCGCTTTGGGCGTAGCCCTGCAAAGGGGGATTGCAGCCGTTTCTAAACTTTGCAGTACTAAATGGCGACCTCTTTTTTTTGTACAGGAGTCGCAAATGGATTCGCACATCAACTTCTCATGGGTTTTAGGACTGGCAAGTTCCGAGCGACTGGCATCTCTGGCACCGCGCCATCTCTCTCTGATCGTCTGGGTGCCAAGCACGTGCCTTCTCTTCGCGAATTCGCCTTTCCGCCTGCGCACTTCGGCTAAGTTGAGCAAGGCTCGACATATGAGCCCTAGGCTCTACCTGGACAAGGCTGGTACAACCCGCTTATTCGGACCCTTCCTTAGCGTGGTAGTAGGAATGGACCAGGGGTGGGCCGCAAGTGAGCTGCCGGTGATTCTTTACAGGCGCAAGTGTTCCTCCCTCGCCATCTGGCCGAGCTTGCCGCAACGCTTGGGACAACAAAAGGAGCCTGTTCTAGCTGCCTGGTTCCCGGTGATTGATTCATCGGGAGAAACCAAGCAATTGGAAGTATCAAATCTCGCATAGCCCACTTGAAGAGTCCATAGTCTTCCAAAAGGGTCCCACAGTCCTGTTACCCAGAAGTTTCCAGCACTGGATACTGGCGGATGAGAGGAAACGCTGGAACGGATGAAATCAAAAGAGTTCGAATGTGCAAAGAACTGGCCTCTCTCCCTTGGTGAGGGTGTCTCAAAATTTGGGGTC